GGGGAACTGGTGGGGGAAACCTACCCATTTAAATCACCTATTGTGTTTTAAAACAAAAAGAGAGAGTTGTGCTTTTTTCTTATTCAGAGGTTGTGGATATATTTTTTTTTCCTGGGGAAAAAACATCCAAAAAACAACAATTTGTTAGCAGGAATGAGCGGGGGGGGGGGTTGAAATGAAAACCATCAGAAGAAAAACAAAAATAAAGATGGCATCAACGTTTGCTGCTCCTATAATCCAGACAACATGCCATTTCCAATTAAGATGGAATGCCACATTTTAAGCAGGTTGACATTTGCTATGCTAAACATCCTTACTTGGAAGCAAGTAAGACTGTGGTTTGTCAGTCACTGAGCAAAAGTCATATTGAGATAAACCCTCTCCAACGTGGCATAAACAGGGTGGTTAGAGAACAGCCAAGGAGGCAGGCCAGACAGCAGGGCCTTCATGGTCATGGTCCCAAAGTTGTGGAGCTGGTTGCCCAAATGAGAAAGCCAGTGTGGTGTTAGACCTGGGATGCTGGGGTTCAGATTCCCACCCAGCCATGAAGTTCACTGGGTGACCTTGGGCCAGTCACAATCTGTCAGCCTAACCTACTTCACAGGGCATAGCTGTCAACGTTTCCCTTTTTTAAGGGAAATTCCCTTATTCCAAATAGGATTCCTCACAAGAAAAGGGAAAAGTTGACAGCTATGTCAAAGGGTGCCTTTGATGATACAATGGTGAGAAAGAGAACCATGTCTGCCACCTTGACGTCTTTAGAAAAAAGTAAGATAGGAATGTAATAATGAATAATGACATTGGCCTTCATCTAGAAAACTTAAGATGCAGTCATTTCTGCGTGTCAGTGATGTTGATTGTAGTCACATTAAGATCATTATACAGTAAGGTCTGCATTATATTGTTTGTAAGCTGCCTTCAGCAGAGAGAGCGGGGAGTAAGATGCGGAAAATATGTACACAATTCTGGGGGAACTGGCCTGAACAAGCCCCACTGAAATGAATGAAAGCTGCACAACACAACTCCTTAGCACCACTGTAACCTTCAGAGCTCCCTTTCATTTCAACAGGTAGCACATCTTTTCAGGGAGTTGTGCCTTCTAACATTCTGAACCATAAACACATTGCGTGAAAGGTGGTAGTTTGTTTGATTCCAGTTGGAGTTAGAATGAGGATACAATATTTAACCTGAACAGTTGTCCTATTGTGGTCTGGGTCCACCTAGACCCACATGTTGGTTTTGCAGCCAATAACTCCTGGATAAGGATGCACAACCCTCTCTGCATTGGGTCCCCCCATCAACAGTACCTGCATTACCTAGCCAGAAAGGTCTGTAGTGTTGCAGCACGTGTATGTCTTGAGTTTTGAGCCTGAAAAGTCCTGATGCTTGCTTCTTTAGAAGCACATTAACCCTTTTTTTAAAAAACACCAAAATTAATATACTACTTAATTGTAATAAAACCTCTAAGCAATTTATGGCGAAAACAATAAAAGACGGCTAGCAACAGGTATTTAAAAACACACAAACATAATTAAAATACAAAAGACATGTCTGGGTAGGCTTGCCTAAACGAAATGGTTTTAGGCAGTACAGTGAAGGCACCTGCCTGATATCAATAGGCAGGGAGTTCCAAAGTGTAGGAGCTGCCATCAAACCAAAGACTGATTTCCTACAATGCACATAAGTATTATGCAACACCCATAAACAGCGCCAGTTCTGCAAATCATAGATGAATCATTGAATCATAGAGTTGGAAGGGGCCACAAGAGTCACCTAGACCAACTCCCTGCAGTCAAAGTGGGCGTATATGAAGTAAGGTACTCTTACAAGTAAACTGGCCCCAAGCTGTTGCAGTTTCCTAACAGTAACACCTTGAATTTGGTCCAGTAGCTTATGATGCTTTTTAGTAAACCATGCCCTAGCACAGTGGCTGAAGACCTGAGCTGTGATATGAGAAATACTAAATTCAAACCTGGTCTCAGCTACTAAGGTATTAGGTTGAGTCAAGTCACTGTTGGGCACAGGTTCTATGTACCATATGGAGGCTAATAATGGTGTAAGAATGACTGGGCTGTAGAAATGCTAATTTTTGTGAAGGCATAACTGCCCAGTATTCTTTTCTTTCTTTCTTTTCAATGGGATGCTGATGTACCATTACCTAAGCAGGTCTTTTAAAATTAGGTCACCTCTTGCATTTCCCATGGTGGAACCCTTTCCATGGCTTTCAGTTCCTAGTAAAAATAAGCCTAGTAGGCGAAGCGAGGTTTACTTTGGGGCTGCTTCCAAGTGTTCAATTGCGTGGGAGCCCAGGAAGCGTGTTGCCTCTGGTCCTATCCAATACACAGGATTTTGGGGTGCTTCCCTGCGCTTTCTCCCTCCAAATCGATCCCAGCAACGTATCATTCGAATTTAGTTCGATTTGAGAGCGCTTAGAATTCCGTCCAATTAAGTGGGATACAAATCAGGCAGTCAATGCGTCCATCGAGCGCTCCGACTTCCGCCTTAGCGCTGCCATTTATTAAGTGGGGATCTGGGCAGGCTCTTAGGAACCAGTACGGTGTGGAAAGAGGAGTCTCCGGGATGGTGTTAATGTAAAAAGGGCGGGGGTTCGGTGATGCGGGAGAGAAGATGGAATTCAATGAGCTTCGTGATTCACACGATTTGCGGGTGGTTAAAATCCAGCAAATGCTTATTACCTGTCTCACCTGTGCCTAAAACCAATCTGAAGAGCACAAGCTGTGTGCTCCAGCCACTCATTTGGCCTGCCATGAACTATTCATTTTCGGCTGGGATGAATATTTTCCAATACCAGAAGAAAACCTTTAGAAAGATTCCCAATATTGCAGGGGATGGCAGAGAAAATGATCCTCTTTAATTCTAGAGTAGCTATATTGTCTTGCCTGTGATTTTTTCTTGAGTAGGTGACTTGAGGATGACACTTGCTAGGACTTGCGTTGCCGAGGAACCCCCTAAGAGGAGGGTCCTTTTAAACTAATCCTCAAACTGGTCAGACAAACCGGATTCAAAGGAGCTGCTTGCACCGTGTGAAGCCAGCGGGACAAAAATCTATTCGGCCAAATTGTTTCGCGGGAACTGAACTAGGAGCTCTGATCTTACCCATTTTACGTTGCCTTGGAAACGAACACATAACCTGCGCCATCCGATTCCGATACCAGTCACCACCTCTTAGTCTAATCTACCTCACAAGGTTGTTGCGAAGATGAAATGGGGAGGAGAGCCATGCACACCACCTCGGGCTCCTTGGAAGATAAAGGTGGTATAGAAATGTAATCAATCAATCAATCAATCCAGAGCCTCAACCCGTCTAACTGCACCTCTGTTCCCTCTAAGACTGAGAGGAACCCCTGTCAGAACGGCCTGCTGGATCCGACCCTCCAGGCCAGCCTTCTGCGTCCTCCTAAGGTGTTTGTGTGACTGTCTGTCCACCAACCATGAAGCCCCAGTGAAAAGGGCCACCACCCGCGTCCTGGCTGGTCCCCAACATCGGGTGCTCTCTGAAGATGGAGGTTCCGTTTCTCCGAGTAGGGAACTGCATTGACTTTCAGGCTGGCTGAACAACGCATTTAAAAATGAAAAAATCCTGATCATGCTTTGCATCTTGAAAGGTCCCCCACCTTCAACCCCAGCATCTCCAGGTAAGGCTGGGAAGACTCGCGTCTGAGACCCTGCCTGGAGAATGGCTACTGGTCGGTGTAGAAACTCATCTCTGATCAGCTTCCTCTGGCCACTCAGGGCATCCTTCCGTCTATCTTCGCTGCTGCTTGGGAACGGTTCTCTCTGCTTATTTTACCCATTTCCAGTCTCTCTCCCTTATCCCGACGTCTTGCATTCCCGTCAGTCAGTTCATTCAGTAGCAATTGCATAAGGCAGCTTCTCCTCTTGGCTCCCCCTGTTTCTTCGGAGGTTTCCCTTTTAACGCCATTTACATTTGGCAGCGATAGGCAGGGAAGCTGTCGGGATTCCCCCCCCCCCCCGCCCTTATCAAATATTTTGAAAAGTTATTTCGAGTTACAAGCCAGATCGTCTTGGAATCGATCCCCCCCGAACCTCGACAATGCGGTAGTCTTTTGACTCTTGATATCAGGAAGGAAGGAAGGAAGGAAGGAAGGAAGGAAGGAAGGAAGGAAGGAAGGAAGGAAGGCTGTGGTCCTCCAGATGGTGGTGTTGGACTCTAACTAGCATGGCTGATGGGAGCTGGAGTCCAGCAATTCTGAAGACCCATCCCTGCCATATAACAATAAGCCACACCATTAACCACAATGAGTCCCGTTAACCACAATGGTTAATACTGAATAATTATACTGATAAGAATAAATAATGGGTGGTGGTGGTACAATCGTCTATATCTGTGTCGTGGAGTTCACTCTTTACACTCCATCCTATCAGTCTTGCACCGATATAAGGCTGCTGAAATTGGTGGTACTGGTTCCCAGTTGTTGTTGGACTACAACTCCCATCATCCCTAGCTAGCAGGACCAGTGGTCAGGAGTGATGGGAGTCGTAGTCCAACAACAGCTGGAGACCCAAGTCTGTGAAACACTAGGTTAGGGTTAGGAAAATTCATGTTTCTCAGCTGAACAGGCTCCATAACTGCTTCTGCCCCCAGACGTTTGGACCAACGGAGCTGAGGAGGCGGGAATGGGGGAGGGGGCTTGACAAAGTCCAATAAAAATCAATTGTGACTTTAAAACCCCTTAGGGTGGCCGTCATTGTAACACCCTTTTGAAATAAGGAGAGCGGAACTGCTTTCTAAAAAGACAGGAAACGGAGCTCAGCTTAGCCTGGGTGCTGCAACAACACGTGATACGGAATGTCTAACCCTTAAGCTTAAATGTTTGGGAACTACTTCGAGGTGAGGAACTCTGTACATGCTTGTGGGACCTCGCGTGCCTGGCTCAGATTGAGTCATATTCGCAAACCAGTTAAGAGGAAGCAAACCCTCTCAGAGCAGCGGAAATATATATTAAAAAATTAAAAATTGTCCAGTAGCACCTTAGAGACCAACTAAGTTTATTCTTTAGTTTTCGTGTGAAGTGTGCATGCACAAAAAAGCTCATACCAAGAACAAACTTACTTGGTCTCTAAGGTACTACTGGACAATTTTTTTATTTTTTATATATATTTCTACTGCGTCAGACCCACATGGCTACCTACCTGAATCTAGAGCAGCGGAGGTGAAATTAGTTCGCATTAGACTCCGGACTTAATGGTCTTAAATTGACTATCCCGTGTCTCCAACACCTGATAACCAGAGCCTCTGTTCTTTAAGATTCTGCCTCTTAGAGCTGCCATTGAACGCTGTGGGACTTGCTTACGAGTAAACATACAAAGGCTCGCACCTTTGAGAGACTGTTAATTTGGAGAAGCCTTATTAAGAAATCCCTTTCCGTTCAAACGACAGTCGGAAGCGGGCAGGCATTGAAATCAATGGGTAAACGTTCACCTTAATATTGAGAGAGGCTTCCAATGAGGGCAGACTCCGAAGGGGTTGAAGTTAAACTAGTTCCCCCCTCCCCCTTTTGTTCTGTTTGTAGAACCACATTATATGAAGTTCTCTAAAGACTGCGTATAATCTGGGAGACTTGCAGCATCCGACACCCCCGCTCTCCCAGAAAGAGAGATCCTCCCAGACCTGGATATTGACCGGAAAGTCCCCTGGACTGAAAAGGAACTTGCTTCCACATAAACTGGGCATTTTGGTTTGGAAGCAAATCCTCCCAATGAGGAGTCCTTCCTTCTTGGAGAAAGTTTTTAGGACCGAGGTGGAAGAAACGAATTTCCAAAGTTATACTTCAGAAGTATGGGTGTGTTAGGCCTGTGGGTGCTGCAGTCAACTCTGTATAACAGGATAGGTGCGGTGTAACTGGAGATTCCTAAGCAATCCGCTACCTCGTGTGTGTGTGTGTGTGTGTGTGTGTGTGAGAGAGAGAGAGAGAGAGAGAGAGAGAGAGAGGTGTGTGTGTGGATAAATTAACACCCCGATCGTATCTTACAGGGAAATAAATCCCTTTGAAAAGAATGGATAGGGTTTCCACCACCACTGTGTCCCTTCCTCCTCCCCTTCCTCTCCATTCCTCCCGACCTTAAAGCTTTCTTTGCCCAAAACAGGGTCGAAGAGCATCATTTGGCTCTCCAGAAAGGACTCGCGTTGCTAAGCGAGCCTCGGCACAAACAGAGATGCACGAGGAACGCCTCGCCTGGGGCAGCTTAGCGCCGAATGTCGTTCCCTGATTTTATGCTCTGCAGCAGCCGCGTGATAAAAATAGGAGGCCTCGGAGCTCGTGTATCAGGTAGAAGGTACCGAAAAGGAGGAGGGCGAGAGCCCTGGGTGAGGCTGTGTGGGGCGCTCCAGACCCCTGCCCAAGCGCCATGGAGGCCTATGAAGGAGGTGTGATGATGGGGAAAGGACGTTCTTTGCTTGAAAAGAAAATTCTTATTTAAATTTAATTTTTTAATTAAAAAAAACCAGCTTGGAAAATCATTGTCCTCCAAGCAAAAGAAAATTGAAGAGAGATATGAGTGGTAAGGGTGGGTGTTCAGCAGCTCCTGCTTAACTCCTGCTTGACTGGAATGGCTCCAGAAGAACACAGGACCAGCAAACGGGTCCTCTGGACTCTGGACTCTGGTGGAGAGCCTCTGGAAAGATGGGTTGGGTGGTGAACAGAAAATAAGAACCGTCGACTCTTAAATGGGTTACTTCTTCCCATCCTGATTACACGTGGCCTTGGAGGTCAAGCTCCGTCGATTTCAGCGGAACTTTACTTGCACACTTGTCATAAGGAGTCACACCCGATCTGTTCATCACCTCGAAGTAAAATCCCTCTCACACCCGGTCTTATATTTACTTCAAGGACAATAATTCCTCTTCTGTATTCATGCCATTGCAAAGTCACACCTGATCTGGCCCCTATTTAGTTCGAAGCAAACTTCGCATCCCGACCTTATCTTTACTCCGAAGCAAAGTCACATCCACATGCTGGCATTTCAGTGTAAATTTACACCCCGGGTCTTAGAGGATCCCATTGGGAAAGAAGAGTTGAACTTCCTTGTAAGTGGTTTACACATTCTTTTCCCTGAGCTTACTTTGAAGTAAATGCAATCCCCTGGGAGTTAGGCAATTCCTGGTGGAAATGCTTTGATTCATTCTCTAACACGATTTTCTAGTTTTTAAACGTCGTCCAGCTTCTGCAGTACTGATACCTGTATCTGAGTTCTTTGTCCTTCTTTCTCTTCCCCGGCCCCACCCCCGCAAATCAAACCTAGGCCTTGCCAGATACTCTGCTCTTCAGGTAACTGCTTAGAGCAGCCCATAAGTGCATCAGGAGTCACACAGTCTACAGGGATAATGAGAGAAGCCAGTCCACATTATTCTGCCTCCGCTCCGCCGTGCATGAGCACAAATGCCCCAGCACTCATTATTAGGAGGGAAGTACAACTTGTTTGAGAACACGCTTTCGTGGAAAGTTCTACTGTGACGTCACTGTGGATTCTGTGGCCTGGTCTATGGAGCATTTTTACTGAAATGACACAGACGTTATGGGGTGGTAGGAACATATTGAGTGGGTGGGGGGGCTTTTAAATAAAATTGTGTAAAGCAGTGTTTTCCAAACTTGGGCCTCCAGCTGTTGTTGGACTACAATTCCCATCATCCCTGACCACTGTTTCTGCTAGCTAGAGATCATGGGAGTTGTACAGTCCAACAACAGCTGAAGACCCAGGTTTGGAAAATACTGGTGTAAAGGTGCTCTAGCCTCTAACAGATAGATTCTATGCATGTTTACTGGGAAGGGAGCTAAATAAGGGAGCTAAATAAGGCTTAGCTGGCAAGTGTGCACAGGCTGGGAGCCGGATTTATCTATTTCCTCGGAGGGTACAAAGGAAAGGCTATGGTTCGACGGTAGTAGAGCTTGTGCTTTGTATGCAGGATCAGACCCTAGTTCCGGGGTGGGGAGCCTGTGACCCTCCGGATATGGTTGGATTCCAGCTCCCATCATCCCTGATCATGGGCCATGCTGGGATTCTGACAACATCGAGCGGCCCACCTGGTTCCACCCACGTTCCCCTCCCTACTAACAGGATCCTTCTGGATAGCAGAATCCAATCCTGTGCTGTTAGATCCCATTCACTTCAAAGGGATTCCATTTTCGGTGGGCACATGATTGGATTCTTCATCTCTCACACCCAGATCGCGTGTTGCACACGCTTACTTGGGAGTAAACGGCACGGAATTCGCTGGCATTTATCTCTGAGTAAACCACGTGCATAGAATCGGACTGAGCGCGACCTTAAAACTGGTAGCAGAGGGGAGTGAGACCCACTGCACAGAAGACATCTTACGACGGTCGTGCTGCCCCAAGGGAACTTCTCGAACCGTTTCCAACCACCCACCCACCCCCCTTCCATCCATCTTCGGCGCCTTGAGCTGCGCAGTGGATTTCGGAGTTGACGCGCGCTGCTTGAGGAGCCGCGGTTGGGTTTTTGGTTCAGTCACTCCAGATGCATCAAGAGCCTCTCCTGATATGATAGTCATAGTCCAACCGCCTTGTAACCCCGTCCGCCTAAACCTGTATGTAAAAAAAAGCCCTTCCCTCATCTCGTATGAGGTCCTTGGGGACAGCGACCTGTCTGGATTCGTTTGGCTGATGAACGTCGATGAAATGCCACGTCGAGCACTGCTGAGGATGCACAAGAAAACCGCCCTGTGCTTATTTGCTCTCCAAGCCGCATTGCGTTAGCGCTGGAGTTAAGCCCCACACCAGATCTCAAATGATCTTTGCATTATTATAATTATTTACTTCTCTAAGCAAGTGCGCTTTGGTCCCCAGCCTTAAACTGGCCGACGGAGCACATTGTATATGATGGAAATCGACGAGCGCAGCATCCATTTATTTCCTCGGGGCTGGGTTTCTGGATTGGCGCGTTGGGACAGTCGGTCAACGGGCGATCCTTTGGTCCCTAGATTTGGACTCGCAAAGGCAGCGACGCCTAATTTGTCCACGATTTCTAACTAGGCATTCTTACCATTGCGGCGCTAAAGGCGTCTTCCTGGGAATTAAAATAATTCCGAGTGGAAATTTCGGGTGGCCTTCGGCTTCCTTGCTCCCATCGACCATTGCCTGCAGTGAAAATATTACTCTACTTTTTTGCAGGTAGCTAGAAACACAATAGCTGGGAGAAGCCTGAAGCGACTGAGCAAGGACTTCCTTAGACTGGGGGGCGGGGGGGGGGAGTTAAATTAAGATGCGATAGTCTTAAGGCCTAAGGATGCGATCCTGTACCCAGTTATCTGGAAGGGATTCCCATTTAGCTCAATGGGATTGGTGCCTGAGGAGACCATATAGAATGACACTGTATGCTTACAGGGCAAAACTACCAGAGCTTACATAAAAGTAAGTCCACCGATCACAATGAGTTTTACTTCAAAGGAAACGGGTTAAGCAAGCACAACCACAACCCCTCTAGACGTTGCACGACCAGGTTGATGGTTTTTAGTCAATTTTGAAACTCTTATTACTGCTGCTATTCGAGATAGTAGCGATAGCATCTGTTACTCTTGCTGTTCCTATTGCGGTGCAGCTAGTGATGCCGGAGAGGGGTGGAATTCTGCCCAGGAGCCTCGATTACTTGGTTAAGGCTGAGATCCTGTGCAAATGTACTGGGGAGGGGATGGTGCATCCTATTGAAATATGAGGAATTTACTTTCAGGTATACGTGGATTGGCTAGAGATTCCCGAGATAGTTGCTGTGTACACACAATACTTTTGTAAAGGGCATTTAAAGCACACAAGGGGGGGAGAGATGTGGGCACTGTACTTTATCCCTCACAGACCTGCAATTCCCAGCACCCTTAACAGACTACAGTTCCCAGGATTCGTTTCAATCGGGTACTTTAAATGTGCTCTAAATGTATGGTGTGTACGCAGCAAGAGTCCACAGGGAAAGAATACTGCTGAACTGAAGACACATTGGAATGGATGGGGGCTGAGTAAGAATTCTCCAGACCGTGTAGCTTTCATCCATTTCAATGGAACTTGTGTAAGTAGAACTCAGATCTTGCAGTGGACACTCTACTTAGGAGTGAATTGTGCATTTCAACTTGAATCTAACTTGCACGCGCACGCATACATTCATAGTGATTGCCAGTGGGGTAATCTTGAGCCTCTGCCCCTCCTAGCTGTGTCATGGCAAAAATTCAGACTTTTCTCAAGTTCATTTGAAGGACTGTGTTGTTATTTTTCAGAAAGACGGTAGAAAAGTTCTGAATTTGACTGTAAAAACAGATTGTTTTTATCAGTCTGGTTTTAAACGTCATCATGATCATCATGAGCTCCGATTCCTTCTCATCCTTCTCAGGATAAGTGCCACTCGGGTCCGTTTGTAAGCTTTTTCCTGGATCTGCAGAACTTCATGCAAATTAGACCCAGTTTAAACACACTCACGCCCACACGACCGTCTCACAACAAGTACGGGAAACTTGTTCAGTTTGATTCCCCAATTTTCTCTACTAGAAGGGAGCTCAATTTGCTGTTCGCGATAATAATTTGGAGACCGATAGCTCCTTTACAGACCTGGTTTAAAAAATACTACTTTTGAAACTATTTTTTAAAAACTGTTTCTTAACTTCTGCCCCAAAACTGGTTTCGCTGGGCGAAGCTTCCTGCAGAAAACGCCGCACTTCCAATTAAATTATAATGCGATCTTCATTCCAAGCGTCTTGGCACTCAGACTTCCTATTTCGCTTTTCTCTGTCCAAACCCCTGGAATTGCTCCTCGAGGTAATACATTTTACTTGGAATAAACCCCACTGAATTTAGTAGGACGCACTTCTGCTGAGAGGTGCATAGGATTGCCTCGCCCTGTGGCACTTTAGAGACTAATATCTTTCCTTCGATTTTTTTAAAGTATACACTGAGGTGCTCCCGGAAAAAAACAACACAAATCTTCTGGGAGAAAGAGGGGGAAGAGGAGGTTCTGTTTCATGGTCGCATCCGATTTACAAGACTCTAGATTTTGCCTTGTAGCCCGTTCTGCTTAAAAATAATGCCGAACTCATTTTCTGCTTCTATAAACCAATTCTGCTGTGATTTCACTAACACTTACTTCGAAGTAAAGTCGTTTAGGAGCAAGCGAGGTTAGGCGCTTTGCACTTTCAGTCCTAAATCTCTGGCTTTGCGTTAAGAAACCCCATTGGTTTCAGAGGAGGGGCGCCGTCCCACCCCCCAAAAAATGAGGTTCTTACAGAGACTTGCAGCCCAATCCGTTTTACTTGCAAATTCTGTTACTTTCAGCGGAATTCTGTTCGGAGGGAGCTGAGCTTTGCAGCGACACTGAAAATCGCTTTCAAAATCCAAGTCGTTCTGTTCAACTCTGCAAAGCTATTTATGGAATCGAGTTTCCGACATCCCCAGATCCCGACTGTATTTCCCGGCGCACTAAAAGCAACTGATTTCACTGGGGCTTTCAGACTGATTTCAGCAGAATTTACTACCAAATTAATGCATGGGGGATTAGGCTTTCTATTTAAGATCTCGATTTCTCCATTTAAAAATAAATGTCGGATCTAATGAAAGGAAATCCTGACGCTATACTGTTGCTTCTCCTATCTCTTCTCCTCTTCTGTTGTCGTACGCGTTTCGATTTCATGTGTACTTCTTTGGAAAGAATCAGATTTCGCTTTCAATATTACCTAACTCGTTAGTTGATGGCGATGATGATGATTAATAGAAGCAGCAATAATATTTTGCCTTGTATCTATTCTACAGATCCTTTTCTCTTTCTCTCCAGCTAAAGATGGCTTTGGCGAACGTCTCACCGCAAACCATAGGAGGCAGTTAGTCGGGGCTCTCTCAAGTCCCATTGCTTTCAATGGAGCTCAGCCGCGACTCACTTCAGCTGGGTTTGAGCCAAGAGCGCGTTCCCATGCGCTGCTGCGTCAAAAGCGCAACCCAAAGCGAACGGGTTTTATTGGGACAGTCCAAAGCCCTCTGCTGCTACAAATCTGCGCGGCTGCGGTAATCGCGCTGCTTCCTTTCCCCCACCCCAGACCACCACCACATACACCCCAAGTTTCCCCAACTTGCCTTTTCTCTCTGACGATTCCCCACTGCCCGTCCAAGAAGCGGTTTTTTAAGGAAGACTCGCACGCATTGTGCTGATTTGCTTTTTATTAAGTCATGAGAGGGTGAGCGAGAGGGGAATCAAAGGAGGAGGGAGGGGAGGCGGAGAGGCCCCGAAAAAAATGAGGAAAGAATTAAGCAGGTAATAAAGAGAATAAGGAAGGGAAAGCCGCCGAAAGCTTTCTTGGATCGGAAACCTGCCCAAAGTCTCTGCCCAGGGAGGACTTGAGGGGTTGTTTTGAAATCGAGGCAGCACAACGGTTTGGAGCTTCTTCTGGCGCGATGCAGCTCGGTGTGTTTCTCTAACATAAAAGAAGGTGGTCCAGGTCTCTTCTCAGGAGCGCGCGCGCGTGTGTGTGAAGGATCCTTGCTAATATATTATTAAATCCGGTTATAGATTATATACGGATTTCCCCCTGAATAATAAGTGCTGCCCATACACCAACAAGTTAACACAGAAGGGTTTAGGAATGACCTCTGGCTGGATCAGGCCAAACGTCCGTCTCCAAAAACGGTCGTCCTGCTACGCTTTCAAGGTTGGTTTCACACTAGTCCACTCCGCCAACAGGTGCCTATTCCTGGGCCCACGAAGCCAGTGGGGCTTGAATCAGTTGAGCTATGTCGCCCTGGCTAGGTTGTGGATCAGGCTGCAAATCGGTTTAGGCACCAGCAGTCCGCATTCGGAACGGACGTTTGAACCCTCTCTAAGTAGCTATTTGGAGAGATAGTCTGATACATGACGCCCTGGCTACACCGACGTCCCTGAGCTGAAATAGTGTGTTCTTATTTTCAGACGTGTGGTGAGGGCTTTTTGGCTGCGTTTGCGTTTCGTTTGATTTTATATCTCCGCGTCTCCTTTTGCCCTTAAAATTGCTTTCTTATTGTATTTATTGTAAGCCGCCCAGAGAGCGTTTTATGTTGCGGGGCGGCGTAATTGCAAAAAAAAAAGTAATTAATTAATCGTCCCCCTAGAGGACAGTGGGACAAACTAATAAACAGAAATACAATGTCAATTCGCTTTGCCTTTGTCTTGCGCAGATCGAGTTGCCCATCTTTCTCAAGGGGCAGCATTTCCCCATTGCAGCACAATGCCATGGGAATTTATAAATGGCAAATGTTATTTCTAGGAAAACGTCTGTTTGGACGCCCACATTCACCTCTTTCATAGGGGTGTCGTTTTCTTGACGACGTTGTTGTTGTTGTTGTTGTTGTTGTTGTTCCCTAGTGGGGTTCCGCCTTTGCAGCCAAGATGGTCCCCGCAAGGAATGGGTTAAGGATCCTTCTGACTGAGGAGCCGCGGATGCCCTTTGCCTAATATCTTTATTACTGAAAACTTCAAGGTAAAGGGAGAGAGCGCCAGCAATGGAAACCAGATGTGGCGATGGAAAAATGAGGGATTACAAAGGGAGACGGAGAAAATGGAGCGTAAAGGGGCAGCAGGAGTTAAAATGGGGAAGGAGGAGCGTCGTGAAGTCGAGCTGACTTTTGCAGGATCCGTTTCAAAGGCCTGGAACGGCGGATGCCAAGCCGTGTAAACATCTTTGGAAGCGCAATCGACCAATTCGAATCCGCGGCTGGCAAATGGAGAGCTCTAGCCCTGGTTGTGCCGAGGAGGAGAATGGGGAGGCGTGAAGTGAAAGAAAACCACGAGCAGCGATTTCAGTTGTGGTGTGGTTGGTGATGATGGGAGAAAGATCATCAGCATCACCACCATATCTAGGAAATCGAACTTGCCTCCTCCTCTTTATGCGCTTTTAGCAGCTATTCATTTTGTTGCAAAAACAAAGTCTTGCTCGTTCCACAGGTGAAATGCAACAGGGGGCAGAAATTCAACCAGTCGAGCGTTTCCTACCAGGCCCCGGAAACGGGGCCAGGAGCTGAGCCGGTTGAATTTCTACCTGTCGCGAGTGGTTTCCCAGCCACAAAAGCCCTGCCAGGACACACACAGACACACCTGGCAACCTTCATAAAGGGAAGCCTGACAACAAGCGGAGAGACCTTCCTCTGCGGCCCAGCAAAACGACAGGCTCCTCCACTGTCCCAATTGCTACGAAAGAGAAAAGCACCGGGGAGAAGGGGGTGGGCCAAGCAGAGGGTGGGGAGACTCCCCAGTGCAGTTTTTAATAAAGGAGGGCAGATCAGAAACGACTCCACAGGCCTGCAGCTGCCAGGCTAAGGCCGCGGGGAAGATGGACCAGGGCGAATCGACTGTGTCGGATCGGCATTAAATTTCCGCTCTCTCGCTCTCTGCGCGCACAGACCCTCGCATTCATCCCGCTAATCGCATTACTGTCATGTGGCTGGTGTGCTTTATTGTTTTTGCGGTTGTGATTTTTAATATATATCTCTATAAATCCTAAAATAAAGCTTTTTCCTCCCCACGCCTTCTCCCGTTCAATGCAGAAAATATAAACCCTGATCTGCGTCCTACTTTTCTTCCCCTTCCCCTTCCCCTCCGCACTTCTTCCTGTCCCTGCACATATTGATCAGGGCTGGGAAGGGGAGTTTATTTGGCTTGGTGTGGCTGGAGGCGAGGAGGGGAAAGTGGGGGAGTCGAGGGAAGAGGAGGAGGAAAAGAGAGGAAGAGGGGGGCGAGAGACAAGAAAGCAGGGTTCCTTGAGGAGGGATTCCCCCCTTTGCTTCCTCTCCTCTTGGAGCCAGAGAGAGGGAGAGGAGGCGGGAGGAAAGAGACCTTCTCCCCCTCTTCGCTAGATCTTCTGGGTGTGGGGGGATCTGTTTAGCTCTCAAGAACATCTGAATCCTCTTAGTGCTCGCTCGCCCAGCTGTGTGTGAGAGAGAGGGGGGGAGTTGGAGGAAGAGAGAGAGAGAGAGAGGGTTGCTGGTGGTGGATGAGGACACTGCGGGGCCCTTTTAATTTTAGGCATGAATGCCGAGAGTTGCGTTTCGTTCTGCGACCCAGCTGCTGCCATGGATTCCTTCTACAACGCCGCCTCGCAGGGCAGCGCCGACGGCTCCTCGCCTTTTAGGGCATTCCCCGGCGGCGGAGGCAGCGACAAGTTCAGCCCCGCTTTCCTGGCCAGCAAAGGGCAAAGCTTCGGAGACAGCGGCAGCGGCAGCAGCAGCCCCAAGTGCCGGAGCCGCTACAGCCAGCCGGAATGTCCCAGCCTCGACGGCAGCGGCGGGCAGCAGCAGCAGCAGCAGCAAGCGCCGTCGGCCGCCTCTTTTAACAAGTATCACCCGCAGCAGCAGCAGCAGCAGCAACAACAGCCTCCGCCGCCGCCACCTCTCTACGCGCAGAGAGGCTCGTGCAAAAGCCCGTCGAGCGGCAGCCTCAAGCTGCAGGACGCCAGCGGCCACAACGGAGCGCTGCAGCTCTCCTGCTACGGTGAGTTCCCCGAGTCGGTCAAGATGGGCTGTGCACGGGTCTGTAGATGTTTGTTTCCCCGCACCCTCCCCCCCAAAAAACAGCCAGTCTGGACTTGCCTGGAGTTATTATTAATTCGTTTCCGTTTTTGCAGGGCTTCTCCTTGCAAATCCGGAGTCACTCCTGCGTCGCTCTTCACCATTTCCACGCTACGTTCTCCGGGGATGTAATTCGGATTTTGGATTCTCCCCACTCTCGCACACCTTCCCTCTCTCCCCTGTGTAGCGTAGAATATTATGGACTAGATAGATACCTCTGGTCTCCAAAGTGGAAGCCTACGAAAAGGTTCAAGAGATGGGAAGGAAGGGAGACAGCCCCCTTAGGTAGAAAAATGAGTGTTTTTAAGGTATCTTTTCTCTTAGGGTCGCTTGCAGATACCTCCGTTGGCTGGGTCCACACGCTAGTTAAACCCATACATGTTAAGTTAATTGACGTTCATAGGGGTGACCGTCCATTACTGGAAGACATAGATTTCAGTTTAAATTTATAACATTTATATGCATTTATAACAACTTTCTGATGCTTTGGTCCTCGTTATGCCTCCTGTCTCCTTTCCTGGCCAAGTCTTTTCTCCTTCTCTCTCTCTCTCTCTCTCTCTCTCTCTCTCCCCCCCCCCATATGACCAAATTCATAACGATGACTTAGTGCGTTCAAATGTTTCCTGGCTATCGACGCTCAGGTTTCCCAAAATCAGATGTCGTTCGAAAGCAACTAGGTAAAGCTTTCCGTCCGCGAAGTCTGGGTTGGCGGCGGCGACGCGCAGCTTTTCATTAGCGTCAATTAAATCATCTCCTCCTCGACTTGGCTTAATGAGTCGCCTTAACCCGGATTCGTTCTCGTTACAAGTTTAACGACGCGGTTAAAATGGCAGGCAAATGTTTGCTTTAGACGGTTATTCTGGGAGGATTAATTAGAGATAAGGGATAGTGAAAATTGAAAAATAGAATTATAGAATTATCTCTCTGGGTCTTTTTTCTCCCCTGTCGCTCCTCCTTGCAAACCCGCTCGATTCAAGGCACCTGAGAACTCACCTTCTGCGCAATCCTAAACCCGTTTACGTCCTATTAAAAAAACAACAACACCCAGACATTTCAACTGGTCCTAAAAAGCGGCGATCCTAAGTTTACACGTCGAACTTCTCATCTCCGACAAAACTTTCACCAAAGACTCAAACGGGCCAGAGGAATCAGCAATGTAATTCCAAGCGAGTGGAAACATAGTTCAGTCAAAACTGGTCATTTTTTTACTTCTTGTTAAAACTATTGCATTAAGTTGATCCATTTTGGCTGGATCGTGACCAATAGCGGAAAAGGAAACACTGTCCGACTTGAGCCTATTTCAGTACTCCGAAAAGGGTTGCTTCTAGTGTCTGTCTTTGTTACTCCCCCTCCAAAAGCCCTCTTTGTCCCCACTGACTCTATGAGTCAGAGATACAGAGAGGTGATGGAGAATAACTGGCTCAAGGTCACCGAGTGAGCTTCACGGAGGAGCGGGGATTTGAACCCAGAACTTCTTGATCAAAGTTCAGCACTGTCCACTGCACTCCTTTCGATCTCCTTGTCTTTACGACTCGATTTGTCCGTTCCAGTTGCTTTTTCCTAGTCAGGTTTACCTTCGGAGGACTCCCCTCACCCCCTTCACTCACTTTCTCGTTTCCAAATTCAGAGGACGTCGAAGGCACCTTCCATTTCTTCCCCGCCCCCCCCCCCCCAACGGGTTCGGAAGTCTGAGAGTGTTTTCTGACTAGAGGGAAAACCAGAGGGCCTGGGGTTACGTTAACAAGCCATCCATCACCGCAGCAGCAAAGAGAGGTCCCGATTTCTTCCAGCGCTTGCTGGCCTCCTATCCTCCCTCCCTTAGACTCGTTAAACCGGCTGGTTACCTAACAAAGTAGAAGTGGGGCCGGAATTCCCCTCTTCTCGTTCGCCCCGTCGGGCTCCCTTTGCAGATCCGCTGCTGAAAGGCAAAGCCTGTGGCAATCGTGTATCCAGTCTAAGCGTTCAGCAGTTTGAGGTTAGGGGAATTCTGACACTCTGGGCTGCTAAGCCGGTTAGTAATAAGGAAGGTAGGAAACCCAGCGTGAAAGGGCCTGTTTTTTAAAAACAAAACAAAACAGTTCTTTCTGCTATAGGTCTGGGAACACTCCAGCCAGGGCATTTTGGAAGGGTAGGAATTGAATTCCCTTTTAAAGAAATGCACTCCGTGTGTGTGTGTGTGTGTGGTAACAGTGTAATCCAATGCATGCCTGCTCAGAAATACATCCTATTAAGTTCAACAAGGCTGACTTCCAGGTAAATGGCGAAAAGTTTGCATCCCAAATGAGCTTTCTCCCGGCGCAGCCCACCTTGACAAAATCTGGAGGGGGGGCAGCAGTCCTCACCCAAGGACCATTGCCTGTTGACCGTCTCTGTTGATTTCCAGGGAAATCAAAATACTGTACTACTGAATTAAATTATGAATCTGGACATTGGGAGGGGGGATACAGAGCCCAGAGACCACCCTCCGTCCCAGAAAGTCTCAAGAATTAATTTTATAGCAGGATGTCGCCTTCGCTTTTACTACATAGGGCAAATTTAGTGGTGAGCGGGTTTCCTCTGCGAGGGACCGCTCAGCTCCTCTAGAAACAGAAAAGGCAGCTGTCGAAACATCTTGCGGCAGAGGAGATCGGAAGGAGGCAAGCCACACCACAAGTCCCTGGTGCCACTAGGAGGGAGAGAAGAAATAACAGATTTCGGTTCCATCCTGCCTTTTAAAAAATTGTTTACACGGCCTTTCCGAAAAGCGAAGTGACTCCGAATTGGGCTGCGAAGCAAAGAAGCTCCAGGGAGGCGGTGCATGAGGAGAGAAAGAAAAAGAGAAGGCAGATTTACTGCCCAAGAAGGCCAAGGGCGGCCGAAGTCTCCCGAGAGGCTCGTCTGCTAGGCGCTTTCTTCAAAGGCTGCTTCGCATTCCAGGCGCAGCCGCATTTCTACGGCCTGGGACTTCGAATGGAATCCTCGCCGGCGCGCCGAGGGAGAATCCGCCGCAGCCGCTCCGCTCCTAGAGGTGGAGCGCAAGCCATCCTGTCCTGGGTCTGCCAGCGCCAATAAGCGCCGGCTCACCGGCCCCGTAAGAAGTCACTGGCGTCAGCTTTTCAGCGCCCCCCTTCCCCACCCAGAGAATTTCAAGATGATAAATCAGGAGGACGGGGGTAGAGGTGGAAGCGCCCCTTTAGAAAATATTCCCCGACACCTGCCGTGGATCTGTTTTAAATAACCATTTGCGCGCAGTTGGACTCCACTAACAGGCTCTGTTCCGCGGCTCCTATGGGGATTCCAGCCCCAACTGAGTCGAGTGAGCGCTGGTGCTGCCTGCCTCCTTAAACCCACAGGCTTCCAGATTTCCTAAATCGGCTTCCAATCGTACTTCTTCGGCTTAACAATTAATTAGCCGGTATAGTTATAAATCACGATGTGTGGGGAGACGGGTTCCCATTTCTAGATGCTACACTGCCGACGACGTGTTGTTACCACTGACGCCCATCTAACGATATTTTCTGGGGAGGAGAGCTTATTGAAACGGACCGGCCTGAACTTCCGCATTAATGAGCTTAGAAAAATAGCAATAAAAGTAATAGCCAGCTTCATAATAAATCACGATACCCTTCAAAACACACTGAGCAGCGGCGTCTTCGCTGCGATCTTCCTATTTAAAAAATAAATAAAAAATGGGAGGGGGCATAATAAAGACACAGCTACAGAGCACCCAACCCCCTTTAAATCGGAGTTATTCTTTCAAAGTGGAGCTCCTAAATTGTAACATTTTGTGTGATGTGGCTTGAAGGACAAGGGCATTTAATAAGAGCCATCTGGATTTGTGGGGATAATTATTTACAAGGAGCCATTAAGCGAGGAATAGTTTCTGATTAGTAGGGAGAAGGTTGGCTTGGGGGTGGTGAGGTAGAAAGGAATGGGATTTCTGGGCACACGAACCACACTATATATATACATTTATCGAGAGTAAAAAGATGGATGGATGTTGGCTGAGACGGGATTACCACCTTGCTCCTTAAAGATTCTTAATCGCTGGAGCCGCGCCATTGCTTTTCGAGCTGAGTAAACCATTTATTTGCGGAGTGTCCAGGGTGGGGCGAGCGGGGAAGGAAGAAGGGCCCTGTGCGGTTTCTGCACATACAAAAGCTAAATACATCCACACACGGGCCGCTTCGGCCAGAGCACGGCCCAAGCCACCGGCATTCGTACAAGAACTGGAAAGCAAACAGCGGCCCATTTTCAGACGCCTGGCCTGAAAGGCAGCTTTCTCGGAGAGATCCGCTCCTCTTCGCCATTAGGGCTGCTTCTGCCACCGCCGCGCAATTGCAGACACGGCTCCCGGTTAGCCACTTCTGCAACCGGATCTCTTAACGATTTGTCGGCCTGGGGAATGGCCTCGCACTGCAATAAAGCGCTAATGGCTTCTGAGTGTAGTTCTGGTTAACCAGCGCGGGCGAGACTTGCCAAACCCCAACTCCTGTATTTTCTTCGCCCGGCTTCGGGCTTCCTCAGGGTGGGTGTCGATTGCCTTGCGGATCTTAGGCAGACGAGGAGGAGATCTGGAAGGAAACCTGCATCGGAGGGAACCTGCCTAGGCTTCAGCGTTGCAATGCACTTATACAGTACACATAGCCTAAAAAACCCCATTTGCTTGGCAGGGAAGTCCCGCCAAGTTCCTGGGAAGCCACTTCCACTGAAATCAGCAGGGCTTCCTAGCAGATCTGTTTAGATGGTGAAGAGAAAGGGAGCACCGTCCAATTGTAAAGAAAAGATGTTGGGGTGCCCCGGGGAGTAGGGTTTGGCGATGCGCATTTCCTTCAAACTTTCTCGAGGCTTTTGCAAAATGGAGCCCTGCGGCCTACATGCCTCGCGCAGAAGAAACCCTCCTCTCGATTTCCACAGACTTTCCAGGCAGTGTGTAGAATACCC